CGCATAAATAAAAGCATTTAATCCGCATTTACACCCTATTTATGTAAATGCGTACACAAGTGTAGGATGTGTGTAAGTTTGTCAATAAAATTTCGTAAAAAACATTAATTAAAAAACGTCAAGCCTCTGAAGAGTTAGAAAATAATTAAACTAATTAATCAGTCCCCTTTCACTTTCCAAAATTAAATTTTCTAAATTGCATAACACATGCAACATAAATTCACTTTAACGGCAATACATAACGTATGGAGAGTTAATTTTCAACCGTTTATTGTACGTTCCATAATATATATAAGTATTTTTGCTTAAAATAAAGACTTACAGTTCAGTTAAACTATCTGTGTCATAGATTCGAGTCCAAATCCGAATCTAGACTTAGAATTAAAAAAAATGTCTTTGGATCGTTATTCTAGGTCTTGATTTGCTTCAATTTGTATTTGATATTAATTCGGTTCGGTTTAAACTTTTCAATCACAACTGTAGAATACTTTCTCCCGAATTCATTTCAAGTTATAATATAATTTATAACATTCTTTTCTTATCTATTCCACTGACTGTTTTATTATTAATTTTGAGCAACTTCGAATGGTCGTCGGGTGGATAAAATTATTTTGCTTTCTGAACAGAACCTGCAGCTCCAACAGAGTTACTTCGAGTTGCGTTTCAATTGTGGCGAGGAATATAATTGTCAACACTCTGCTAATTAAATTTAGCACGGTGATTCCCCTTCAGTTGAAGCATTCTCTGAAGTTGCATTTCTTCGAGAGTTTTCCCATCAATTCTTTGGAGTACCTTCTTTACAATTTATTTCAAGTTAAAACGCAACTATTTATTTTATATTAAACTTTTATTAGCTGTACGGTTTTCTGAAAAGCACATTGATTTCGTGAAATTTTCAGGAAATTTCCGGTTACAAAATCATAGAATCCTTGCTTTAATGTATCTCTATTGAGTATTAGTGAATATTTAAGTTGAAAACATTTAAGTATTTCGTAATTATAGTAATTCACTCATTTTATCACTCACTAGGCCTATATAATGAATACATACAGTATTTGTATTCATTCCGAAATCTAATCATTATAATAACTACACATTATCTGTACAAATTTATTCACATCAGAAACACAAAGTGAGGTAGTGAGGTATTGTCATGTATATGATAGAGAAACCGAATTTTTCTATGTGAGAAAGAACTTTCGAACTGTTTGTTTGCTATTTCATGTATTACACTTTCGGTTTACATTCTTAGAATAAGTTGAATATTACCTATTTTTTATAAAATTTGCAATTAATGTGCAAAGGCTCGTACTCCTAAACTGGTTCTTACAATAATACATCTATTGGAATCAATATATATAACATCCAGAAAATACATAATGAGGTCGATCATGTGCTGATCACGTCCAATTAATTTTTTTTTAATTAAATATTTAAGAAGATATGTTAAAGGGTTTGATAATATAAATATTTTATCATTTTAATTAAATCAATCGTCATCACACTTATTTCTAGGAATAACTGACACATAAGTAGTAATAAACGATGAACCTATTTCCTGATACTGGTATTTTCATTGAATGTAGTGATTGCTTCATTATCTTTATAATCGTATAATCACTTATGTTTGAACCTAATAAGGGAAAAAACTAAGAAAAATTATTTTTCACTTTTAACTAAAAAAAATTTCTATTTTAGGAAAGCATAGCTTGCATATAGCAATATTTTTTTTCTTTAACCACCAAACCACAATATCAATTGTATACTAAGATTAATTTGAATTCTATTTTTATGTTTTTACAATTCATTATATTGGCATATCGGGTACTCGCATTTTATACTGGAATTTAAACTTAAAAGAAATTTGTTTTACAAAAAAAAGTAGGGAAATAAGTATTCAATAGGTTTAAATAAATTTAAGTATTAAGTATAGGTAGGTATTCTTTACCACCATGCTCAAATATTTCTAATTTCTCAAAATTTAAATAATCTAGTGTTTAAATACGTGACAGAAATTGACAATACTTTCAAGAATAGACGAAGATTTACTTTACTTAATAATATACATAATAATAATTTCTATAATTAATTCGAGGTTCAACAAATTGTGAATAAAACATTTACGTTTTTTAGAATATAAACTTTAGTTAGCCACTAAATGTGGCTATCAACTACTAAAACTAAAATAGTCATCATTTATGTAGATAGAAAGGGAAAGGAGAAAGAAAAATACTGCACGGTGACGATCAATGCTATTGTAGAGTCGGCCCTTAAGTACTCTTTTACTCATATATACGTACAAAAAAATTATGGATACAAGCTAATTTTGTACAGCATACGCAACACTGCGGGTCACGCTTCCTATAGTCCGTACTATACGACGCGGAACATTGAAAAGATCGATCGACCTTAAGTTACTCGGATTCTCTTTGTAAGAAATTCGACCCAATAAAACCGGAACAACCACGTTACTCACCACAAGTTGATGAATGAAAACTATATCAGAAACCAACCTATGACAACGAAGTGACCTTAAATCCAAAAGATAAAGCCTACTTTTATCAAAGGACATCCTGAACAGATTCGACCAATCCATGCCACACGAAGAGCAAAACGAAGGAAACGCCTCTAAACAGATTCAATACAACCTATATGTCAACATCACGAAAAGGAGACGAGATTTTATATACCTACTCTTAAACGGGTCTCATGAAAGAGACATTATAAATATAAATTTACCAATTTATCATAAATGTTTTGTTAATCTTATTGTAGAAATAATTTTAGAACCGAAAATAGAACAAATATTTTTTTCCCATTCCTTAAAGAAATTCTTTTCCTATATTAAATGTTATGTACGCTTTAGTCATCTAAAATGCTATTTTTAATTTTATACACGAGTGTTTTTTTCTTTTTGTTGAGACATCAAAACAAAATGCAACAGCTGTTTTTACAACAAATGCAACATAAGCAAATATGTGTTTGGTTCAAAAGGCATATAGTCCAGTGGGTGATAATGTTTTGTTGTTATTCTTTTGCTTTTATTCCAATTGTTGTAAATTTTGAAAAGCTCTTTTTGAGCTTTTCAACAGCAGACTTAATTGTTTTTTTTTTCTGTAATTTTACGGTAGTTATTTTATGCACATATGTTATAAGTACACAATCATGAAGCACATTTAGTTTTTTCAGTTTTTTTTTTTGTTTATATCACAGAGTGTTAAAGAAATCATTCATTCTCTTGATTTTTAACTGATACTCGTATTATCTCGGAAAGATGAAATATGCAGTAGGGTTTTTTTTTAATAAATAGAAGAGTAAGCATTTTGTGCAGTTGTCAGCGTGACATGAAAAAAAATACAAATCCAAAAATTGACAAAATCCAGGGCCAAGTTTAGGGCCTCTTTCGTCCCAAAATATCCTTTCAGGCAAATCCCCAATGTAAGACCTTACTATGTTTTTCAGCTCCGGACCAAAGTCCAAGTCCCGAATGCCGTTGATCTCCCTATTAAAACTAAAATGGCCCCTCAGGTCATTAGGCCTCAATACATAGTTCATGTTAAACTTTGAGACTCTAGTTTGAATATTTTTGAAGTTTAATGATATAAGCGTACTATAAAAACTAACACAATTATGGGGGGAATAACAAATAGAGAAATCAAATTTTTTAAATAAGAAGTTTTTTTTATGAAGTTTCCTATTTAAATCCTTCTGGCAGTCGTTTTCCTGCGACTCTGTTTATATATGTATATCATACGTATGTAGATATCTACCTACTTGTAACAGCACTTATTTTTTTATAAGTATACTATTTATGTGTACAATTATGCAATTTTACACGAAAAGATTGTAAAATTGAAAACAAGATTTCGATTACAGCATCTTATTAAATCGTTAAAAACAAAATATGAAAGAGCAGATAAAAAAACAAGCAAAATATAAAGCAAAAACGGCAAGTGACTTGGCTAATTTAAAATCTATGTGCATATTAAAAATGCTTCAATGTGATTTGTTGCTATATACAACCAAATATATTCTTACATATTTACATACCTAATATTAATAATAATATTGAAATCGTTAAACTGTAAAATCGAAAGTGAAGATAATTCAATTGCGATTGCAATATAACAAGCATGATAACATTGCAGACCAAACATTAGAGAGAAAAATATTTAAAATGTAAATGAACAAGTAAAATGCAGTAAACTCTCGATTAAATAGCATATTATATAAAAGCATGTCATTGAAGACATATAATAACAGTAGATTTTAGATTTTTCAAGGGAACTGAGTGGGACAAAAGTATCCCCCAGGACATCGCAGTCAATCGCAACTTATTGTATTCTCCCCACGCCCCTCCTACAATATCAGTGAAGACCGCAATCCGCCGCGAACAGGCAGGCGAGCCTTACCCCCACGGCGGAGGAAGGCAGACTACGGAAAGGCAGCCGCTGCACAAAGTCATTCCCAGATATAGTAACAGTACATTTTTCTTTAATCGATTTGTATATATAATATTGAACTATTAAAACTAATGAAGTACAAGTGTACCGAACTCACATTAAAAATAGGCACAGGATAACAACAAACAGCAATGTGTCACCGTCAACAAAATGTCAACAGTTTGACAAATCAATTATCATATCAAATTATTCTAGAACATTTTAATGTTGACAAATTTTTATGTATAAGGAAATAATGATAAGAATTAATTAATTTTTGAAAAAAATTTGTCAAATTATAATTAAAATGTTAAAATGATTATATTTTAAAAAAAAAAAGTTGTTGTAAGAAATAGAAAAACAAATGAAGCCGAATTAAATTTTTCGAACAGATTTGGTTATTAAAAAATGTAAATCGAACGAATAGATTTTTTTTTAATTATAGATAAATTAAAAATATTTGATTCTAGTTAATATTGAAAAAGTATATAAATAAAATTTTTAGTGAAGAATACCATAGTTTTCTAAAAACCTTTTTAAACTATACGAGTTTAAGAAATGAAAGGTAAAGTAGATCAAAAAATTTTTTTTAAATATTCAAAAAAAAAAAAAAGTAAATAAATTCTAATTTTATTTTATAGGTCTTATTTTAGCGATTTTTTCGCTGGGCATAGTAAGCGTTTACGCAGATTGGCCACAATGCGACAATCAACCCCATGGAAGAATGGTTCGCCATCCTGACACATGCCGAAAATATATTGTATGTGAAAATGGTGGCGTTGAAATGACATGCCCAGCTAATCTTCATTTCAATGAAGAACACCAAACTTGTGATTATCCTGAAAGAGCAGGTTGCGATGGAAACCCAGGACCAGGACCCGGGCCAGGACCAGGCCCAGGACCCGGTCCAGGACCAGGCCCAGGACCATGCCCACCTTGCCCAAACCCATGTCCAAATCCATGCCCAAATCCATGCCCAAATCCATGCTGCTGCTGCTGTTGCAATGAATGTGGTTCAACAACAACAAAAAAACCAACAACATCAAGAACAACTTCAAGGACAACTTCAAGAACAACTACAAGAACAACAACAACACGAGGTCCAATCACAACACCACAACCATGTCCACCATGTCCTGATCCATGTCCTAAACCATGTCCTGATCCATGCCCAAAACCATGTTTTAATCAACGTCTTCGTTCAATCGCTTCAAAAATGTAAATTGAAAAAAAAAAATATTTAAATGTTCAAATTTTCTCATAATATACGGGTTATTGCAAAAAATTTTTAAAAGATCTGTTTTAAAATGACAGCTTTAATTATTTAAAATTATATTAGAACAATTATTTTTACAGTATTCATATTAAGTCGAAATTAATTTTTAAACAAAAATGTATAAAGGTACCACAGGATATCTTCTACCCTGTAATATTTTTGCAATAATTTAATAGAAATGTTTAGTGTATAAAGAACAAAAATGTATATTAAAAAAAACTTTGTTTAATTTGAACAAATAGATTTTGTTGTATTTTTGTTTTTTATTTGGAAATAATTTTACAAATTATATTGTTGAGACTACTCATATATGTCGAAAATTATTAGGCCGTATTGAATTTGAGCAGTTACTAATTAAAAGCCATAAGTTTAATTGAATCTTAGTATAGCTAATATGCAAACTTTATAATTCAAATAGTTAGAAGTGTGACTATGAAGTTCGAACCTAAGAGCCTGCCAGCATTATAGCTTTACAAGTATATTGAATTCAAAATATTTGAATAAACTGTTATATTGTTCCGATTCAGTATAAAATTAATGCCATTTTACATTGATAAATGTACTCGACTATTTTAATTCTGAGGTTTACTGTTAACAGAGAATAATATTTTATTTTTAGTTTCTCATAAAATAGAAAAACATGAAACTGCATGAATTTTTTGTTGTGTCATCTCATTTCTTTTCTTCTATTTTTCATTATTATGAAACTGAATATGAAAATTCAATTTAAATTCAATATGAATAAAAATTATATATTAAATAAGAAATGAATATAAATTAAATATATTTTGTAAATAAATATTAAAAATTATAAAACCCCAGTATTGATCTCATCATCACAACTATATATTTATGGAACCAAAGAGAAATAGGAGAATTTTTTATGAAAGTAAAAAAAAATACTAGGGCAAAAAAAAAAATAATTTGAACTTTAAACTTTTCATTTTAATGTAGAAGAATTCGAATTGTGTGTGCTTCGTTTACATGACTAAGTAATAATTTTTTACATAAATAGAAAGAAAAAATCGATAATTCTGCATTAATAGTATCGACCTTGTACGAGTATCATTTCAGCATCTTAATATAGTTAATTTAATGCTATTCATTTAAAAATACTCAAATCATATTTAATTTTAATAAATTCAATATTTCTACATGATTGATTGTTATACATTTTATTTTTTTATAAAGTATGTGCTTATTGTGCGCTATGATTTTTAATTTCAATTCAAATTATATAATAACATGGAGAGGCTTTACAGTATACAAGTGCGTAAATTAAGATGAGTTCTGTTTTTTTTTGTTTCTGAGTATATTGCGGCATAAAAAATACCGATGACCTAAAAAATATTTCGACAACGCTATACACTTGTACAAATAATTGAAAAAATATAATTTGAACATTATGTAATTTAATGTCCTTGTTTATGTAATGTTTATGTAATTTAATGTCCATTATGTATGACCTTGATTGGAATATTTTCATTTAATAAGCTATTTAAGTATATTAGAAATGAGGTTCTTATTATATATGAAATTGAACTCAGTAAATGGCTTACTATATGTGGAATTAACTGACTGCAGTATGACGTCTCGGTTTTTAGAAGCGACTTCTAAATTCTGCTTTATTTGCGATGGTAGTTTGACAAAGAAGAGATAAAACTAATAAAGAAACTGGGCAAACTCAATTGATGAGCTATTTTTCAATTCTACATCTCGAGAGAGTGACACATTGTCGAATTAATTTAATTCCATATTAAATTAACTAGGAAACGGGATAAATTATTATATGTAATCATAGACAACAATAGAGTGTTACCTGATTATATAGTTGACCTACATTTTCACCACACATATCATAGATTGTACATTAAGCTACAATATTTTTCTTTGTTCCACAAATTTCTGAAGTACTAGTCAATTATCTGCGAACCTTTTATTCTCCATTTAAGTAATTAATTCCCCTTAGCCTTCTGACAATTTAAGTAAATCTAGCTGTCTAACAATCACCTGATTGTGATTCGTCTAATTGTTATTTCTTTGAACCAATCGGATATCGTATATAAGTATAAGACTGATTGTTATACACTTGCAGCCAGTCCCAAAAAAATATGAGAATAAATTTAAGAACTGTGCATAAAATTTTTCTTTAAATTTACAATTTGTTCGACCTTGTTTTTGATTTAAGTACCAACATTTAAATAAAATAATATGAAAAAAACAATTTTTTTTTCTAAAAACTTTATTATCTTTATTGTATGTACCAAATAAATGTATCTACATTCATCATTTAATATTACCCGTGTTTCCATTCTTATTTATAGAAATTTCTACAAAAAAACCATTACCATTGTTTCCCCAACTTATTGTTTTTCTGAGAAAGTTTATTATCGCGCCTCTATGTCTGCCGATATATGTATATTGTACGCATACATACAAATATATAAGTTACACTGTAACCTATTGTTTCTCCTGCTGTTTCCTTTAAGTTTGATGAAGAAATTGCAAAACAAAAAAGAAAAAAATTAAGAAAATAAAAAGTGAAATTTTCAAGGATTTGAAAGAAGGATGTATACAATAATTTATGAAGACACATACATATATATCTGCATATGTAAGGTCTATATGTATGTTAATTATACATATACATATATAAATTGCAAATAACTCCTCGCAAACTATATTGAATTACTAAGCATTACATCTACACCTACATTAAATCGCGGCCATTAAGCCAATTCCGAAGCATTCACACTATAAGCGCCACAACGTTTCAGCCTCTTTAAGGTATAGGCGGTAAACCTCGGTCTCTACCTTACTCATCCTTTTCAAATGGACAATCAAGAGGCAATGTCCAGTGAACATATTCACCAGTAGCATCAAATCTCGACGACCAAGTGTCGCACGCCCCCTAGGTCCTACGGAGAACATAAACTTTTTGGATTGAGATAAGTGAGAAAAATTGTTCCAATGATCGATTCTGGTCCGTTCCACATAAACCTTCAGCCTGCGAGGACCAAATGAAGTTAGTTGCCGGTCCTCTCCGAGAGAGAGGACAACCAATATTCACACATCATACATTGTTATACCTAACTAGGACGTTAAGGGCATCGACTTTTCCTCTTAACAATTTTGATCTTACTACATAAGACGACAGGACAACAAGTATGACCTTACTGTCCAAAATAATAAAAATGCTTCTCCTCCTAAGATTCCCTCTGATATTGGAGTACAGAATTTAATAACATATGTTTAAGCCTGAAATGTTGATAGATAGTGCCCGACGATTCTTGTGATATTTACGTCCTCACCGTACACACTTACACTAACTCCTTCATTGGTTTTTGATCCATCTGTGCAGAAAATCACAACTCCAAGGCCTAGTTGTAGGCCCGCTTTTTAGGCAGATAAACAACGTAAGGCTTCCCAATATTTAATATGCATAATAAATACGTAATGTAATTACTAATTACAAATGAAAAATTATTTAAAAAAATATTGGATTTTTGACATTAAACATACCGTCATATTGTATGACAACTATTTTTCTGTCAATTTTATTTAAAAACCAAAATATTTTGACATTATACAATACCTAAATATTCCTATGCGCAAGTGATTATACAAAAATTCAAATTTTATTACTTAATTTAATTTCTTATTTACCTACATTTTCGCGGACAATGCACATCCAACTTATTTTATTATTTAATACAATTGCTTAATTAATTTGCACCCTAAAATTTTCATAGCATTCCAATTCCACAAATATAATATTGTATGCAATTATGAGAAAAATTAAATTTATTCTTTATTTTTACATTCTAAGTAAATCAAATTTATAACAATATTTCGCTAATTCGAATTTAAAACAAAACCCCAGTAAAAACATAGAAGGGACACAAGAAAAAAATCAATAGATTTGCACTTATTATGTACCTACTAACAACCCTTAAAAAATTTTCATTTTCTGTTTTTTTTTTTTTGCAAAATCACATGAAAAAAAACATCATAATAATAAATATTATTACAGAAAAAAATATTACGTTATTATTATAGAATTGCCCTTGTTACAGAGCATTCAACTTGAATAAATGAACATTTAATGTAACAAGCACCATTTCTTATTTATACATATGTACATATGTAAATAAACGCTTTCTATATCGTACTCAATACATAAATGACTTCACTGACTATATTTGGCATATATGTAGATAGGTAAGTATAACAGATTCTATAATATAAGAGATAAAATATTATGCATTGGTACATAGTGAGTAACTCATTTGAAATGTCGAATCATAATAATTTCGATAATTAGCCATTATCTGATGTAAATCATCAGAATTTATGAATGAAGATTTTTCTTTCATAATATATAGTGTGTCTCATACTTAAGTACGTAATCAATCGATTGCAATATTATTTTTGTATGTATGTATAAATGACAACTCGTCACTAATATCAAATATCTTTTAATTGAAGTATCGTGTTTAAAACAAAAAAAAGAAAAAAATTCCCGCAATTTAACACATTATCTACAAAAAAAATAAAATAAAACAATAACAAAAAAAAATAACAGTTAAATAGACAAAGAAAATAAAAAATATAACAGTAAATTTCATATGTCAAAATAACTTACTTAGTTATAACGAAAACGAAAACAAAAAATTTAATGCTAGTCATTCGTTCCTATATTTTAATTGTTATTCTATTTGTATTTGTGTTTCTGACATGCGCATTAATTGTCAGAAACCGCATCAACAAAATCCATTCTTATGTCATCTTTTCATACTTAATATTATTATTTTGACATTATAAAAATGTCCAGTATATATAAAAAAGGTTAGGAGAACATGTCACATTAAAGTTTTTAAAAAAATAAAAAATTTTTTTTTATAATGCTTAAGAATTTTGAATTTAATAGTCAATAAAATAAAAAA